TGTCCTGGGCCCCGCCACACCGGGGAACGTCCAGGCCCCCACCCCCCCTTTCCTTAGTTCTGTCAAGCATTTTTATACCGCCGGCGGTGTTCGAATTCAAAACAAGTTTACTTCCTGGGTTTCTTATACTTCCTTCCAGTTCCCCCAGCCCTGCCCATTCGGGCATGCTCAAGGGGTTGGAGCTCCAAAGATTTGGACCTTTCGTATTGTCTTCGAAAGGCTTTAGCCTGAGCATTGGTTGCCAATTGAAATTCTGCCAGGATGGCAAGTCCTTCATTAATGTATATTCTCGCGGTCTTTGCCGCCTGCCATCTACCTGCTATGAGCAGTTTGTCTAGCGACCCGTGTTTAGCAAAATAGGAGGTGGCACCTCCCCTTCGCAGGCTGTAGGGCCTAAAAGAATGCTCACCGAGCCCAGTTGCGTCCAAGTACTCAGAAAACTTCTTTCGCCAGACATGGGCAGCTTCACATAGTGAAGGCCTTGAACCTGGGGTGTTTTTCCACTGCCATAGGCGTCTCAAAGTATCTTCCTCACGGATCGTGACACTTTCAGCCGCACCTTGCCGCCTTCCACCTTTGGTCAGTCCTAGGGATACTATTGCCACACTCCGTGGTCCTTTCTGCTCTACGTGTGCCTTCTTTATACCCAATAGTTCACCCGTCCGAAGGAGTCCATGGAACCCTAGCAGTAGAGAGAGGGCGAAGAGGTCATCTTTCTTGAACAGGCTGTAGCCGACAAGGATATCCAAGGCTTCAGTGGGAAGTGGAGGAGCACGACTAGGAATCTCTGTGGAGGACCATGTCTTCATTAGTCTCCAGGAGGATGGGAGCCTCCCCTTGGCCGATGGACGGTAGTCTTGGACTGCAGCAATGGAATCACAGGCTAAAGCACGGCCTTCTCCACTTTCCCACAAGAATTCAATGTAGTGGCTCAACCAAAAGTCAAGTGTCGCGGGATCATCTGGAAATCTTCTGCTTTCTTCTCGAAGGAAATTGCGGAATCTCTCAAGTGCCTTGTCGTATCGTGCTCGGGTGGCTGGTTGAACAGCTAGGTGACGCAGGGGCCCTAATGCTCGCCTCTGTTGTTGTCGGGATGCTTTGTCTTTGCCTTCTACATATGCCTTGCTATGACTCACCATTTCTTCTTCACGGGGCGCCTCGACGGCGCATCTGCTGGGTTTTCTTTCGTGTGAACATAAGCCCACACGCCATGCGAGCCACTGGCAAGGAGCAAAGCATTTATCCGACTCATCGTTCGACGAAGCTTTCGGCTGCTGCTGCGTCCCCTAGACAGGGAATGGAGACACACCAAGCTATCCACTAGATGCACGAATTTCGTTCGCAAGGCCTTCTTCTTCACAATGCGCCAGCGGAGTGAAGTGAGCACCGCCCTCATCTCGAGCACATTGATGTGTTCAGGTGATCCTTTCCAGGGCCATCCCATGACTGTCTTCCACTTCCACAGAGCGGATGGCAAGCTGGCCCTCAACCGATGGTAACGAAGTGTCTCCTCACTTGGTGCCTGGATCATGATGTCTTCTCCTTTTAGGCTGACCATATTCAGGAGTTTGGAGACAAGCTCATACTCCCCCTCGGTGCCTGAGCGCCTTATGCGCCTCATGGCTTGTCGTTGCAACACTCCTCCTACAGTCACTGCGGCTCCCGGCCTTGTCGCCTCCACTGCTTCTTGTGGTGTCTTGGCGTTGCATAGCCCCAGTAGGTGACCAAGCTGCGAAAGGAGCCACACGACCACTGTCACGTTCCAACTGTTGCCGATTAAGGACTTTCTTTCATCCTCATGCGCTTCACTTCCTTGTTGTTGTTTTGGCATGCAATGAACCGTGTAGTTGCGAGGAAATCCCATGATCGTCTCCCGTTCCTGAACTGACGGAATTCGGCACACACCGCCTCCTTCTCTGACTAGCAAGCGATGGGAGTATTGGTATGGCGGGAAACGAAACTTGTCCTTCTCCCAGGCTTCTCTCTCATCAGGCCTCAACTCCTCCAACCCTGCCGGTCTCCTTCCTGGCCATGCCCTTGGTCGAGAGGTGGTAAATGTCGGGAACGGCTCCTCTGACGTCTTCTCACACCCTGGCTCTAAGAAATCCTTGGGGTCAACCACGGCGTGCAGCTCAATCTCATGATATGATGCCATACCGTGGTCAACTTTCGGGTGAAAGCGAACACCTTGACCTGGTTGCAGCTCCCAGTCAAGCCAATACAGCCTAGGGCGACGGGCTAACGATACTCCACTGGCCTCGATCTTCACTGGGGTGTCACCGAAGTCTTGTGACATGATCTCGCGGTCCTTGCGATCCATGGATGCCACGCTTTCTGCCAAGTACCTGACCTGTGCCCAAGGAAAGTGGGATTTCAAGAGCTCCTTGATGCGACGAACATGACTGAACAGACAGCTCCTGTGATCTCTCAAGGCACCCCGCCGGTCACTGTTTAGACCACTCACGCCCTGACAGGGCGGCCCTGCTCCGAGGAGAACAAGAGAGGCCTGTGAAAACCTTCCTGACCAGCTACGCACCATCTCCGCGTCCACTGCCTCTACACCTCCTTCCACAAACAACGTAGCGGGGAACTTGCTCTCCAAGACACGGCTGGCCTCCTTCTTTACCTCAACACTAATGTGACCCAGGATGGGAAACCCACACGCGTCTGCTGCCACTCTCAACGCGCCAATCCCATCAAAGAGCCCCACTGTGAGGACAGCGCACAGATCAGAGGGTTCAGCAACGTCTCCACGCACGACGGCTCGGGCTGCTGCTTCTCCAAACCCTGTAAGGCCAATGCTCCGGGTGAGTCCTCCTCCACTGGTGGAAGCGTCGCTCGCCGTGACCTCAGCACTCACCTCCAACCTAAAGTCCATCTGTGCTAGGGGAACCAGTGCGATGAATCTGGCAATCTCCAGCTTGACCTCATGGGGGATCTCGAGCTTGATCACCGGGGGGTAATGTTTGAACTCCTGAACGAAGCGCCACACCGCATTCAAGGAGCCCAACAGGGGTCGTCGAAACATGCTCATGTACACCAAGCCTCCAGCGACAATCTGGATTTGTTTCACGGAGCACCTCTTCTCCCCTAACAGGAGACTTCCCAGTTGGGCGTACTTCAGGACCTTTGCCGGCTTGGGATAGGCTATTCCCTTCACACCGTCAATGATGGCGCCCTGTACCTCTGCTTTCAAGGACCGAGCCACTCCTTTCTTTGGGTGTCTAGGGACCCCCCACCGCTCATATTCCGAGCGTAGCGCCAGAAGGCTAGCGCTAGGCTCCCCCTTCAGGAGCTCTGCTGTCTTCTTGTCCAGCTTCTCCAGGGAGTCGAAGTTGTCCAGGTAAATTCTGTGCAGGGTTGAGGATGAAGAGAACGGCCTGTCCTTTCGTATCTCTTGTTCTGGCTTGAGCCCTTCTTCAATTAGTCCCCCCGCTCGTCTCACCATAGCCCGATGCACGTGCTGTGCTAGGCTCACGCTATTCTTAAACCCCATGGGGAGCACCTGAGAGGCCAGAAAATAGGGCCCGTCCTCATCTGGCCACAGCTCACGTGGGATGGGTTTGTTAAAACCAAGGAACACCGACCACTCCCGAGGCACCTGGAAAATATAAAAGAAACAACGAACATCTTCGGACGAGACGACCAGATCCTCTGCCGGCATGAGTTGTAGGGGGCTCATCGTGGCCCAAGTGGGTAGAGTGGAGACGTCTCCATCGATGCCCCGGCATACGAGATTTGCCGGTCGAAGATCCATGATCAACCTGTGGATGGGGTGTCCTCCTTGCTCCTCCCCCTTGGGGACTCCAAAGAGTCCGTTTAGGAGGGGTCGTCCGCCCACGTGATAAAGTTCGGCTTCTTTGAGTGCGATGCATACTCCATTGCCCAACAACCCTTCACACACCCGGGGCCACGCCTCGTCACTGATCATCAATCGAGGAGGCTTCATTGGCTTCTGCATCTCCTCGGGCAAAACGTAAGAAGCGAAATTCATGACATAGTGCCTACATCCAAGCTCAACCACATCAGCCAAGGGGACAGAAGCGATCTCTGCGGGCATGGCGGGTGAAAGGTTATCCCATGTGGTGTATTGAGCGCAAAGAACTTCTTCCCCACAGTAATCGATGGTCTTTACTTGCAGGAACTCCTGCCATGATGTCTCCTCAAACTTCTCTCCCCATTCCAACACTGTCTTGGTTTGCCCCTCAAGGAACCTCAGCACACTTACCTGAAGAGCCGATGGTGAGAAAGGGTTTTTCAACTCAACCCCATAAAGGCAGTTCAAGGCAATGGACATACCTCGAATCACAACGGCAACCTCTTCTGAGACCTGCAGTGTCTCCCTGAGCACCCCCATCTCAGTGGGCAACGGAAAAATGTCGCCCGTGGGCTGGGTCATGCACTGCAAAGGCAACTCAATCTTGGAGCTAGCTTCAACTAAGACGGAAGTAACCCAGGGAAAAACACTAACCAAGTCTTCTCCCCCGCACGGCGGCTTCATGCAAACTTTTCGCAAGGTCGGGATGGTCTCAAAGGCGTCCACACTTGCCTCTTCTGCCAGGGCTACCTCCTTTAAATGGCGCCTCTTGGCTTCTGTACCCGATGCGGATGAACCTAACGAAGGCTCCACCACACCGATGTCGGAGAAAAACGCCCGGGCCTCTTCACCAGGCTGCATCTGACTGCTCATTTCGACTATCGCGGGACCTTCCCGCTGCCTCACGTCTCTTGCTTCTTTCCTTGCTCCCTTTCCTTGCACTTTTTTCCTTTGCCCTTTCCTTCTTTGTACTTTCCTTTCTCTTGTTGCCAAGGTGGCTCTCGCCAACTTCCGGCCCAATCTCCTTTGGTCTTCCCTTTGCTGGCCTCGGCACGAGTCCGGTTCTCCTCTTTGGACTCCTTGATGGCTTCGCGGGCTTCTGCACGGCTGGATATGATGGGCTTCTCCGCTGGGACGAGCTCGATCCGCTGCGATATCGACCAACTCGCACCCTGGGCGCTCATCTCGATGGCCTTCAACCTCTGCATGAGGCCATCTGATGCTTCTGCTACTCGTCCTTGCATCAGCAAGTCGAGGCACCAGCTCAGGGTAAGTGCTTCCCGAGATTGACCTCCAGTCACTCGTGAGCTCAACACCTGCCTGAAATACTGGCAGCAGATTGGCTGAAGGGCTCCCTCCGACTGATCCCAGATGCCTCCGGTTGAGTTCAGGAGGTTGCTTGCCATCTCTCGACAGCCTGCCGTCGTCAGCGCCCCAGGGGCGAAGCGTCCAATCTTCCTCACTTTCTGTGTTTCCTCGAAAAGTTCGCCACTCTCCTCGTCGGTCGACTCGCTGCTCGCCTCTGTGGATGAGCTCTCGGACGAACTCTTCTTCTTCTTCTTTGCTCTCCTCGAGGCCTTTGCTGTAATCTTTCTCCTCACCTTCGGATTTGGGTCCATGCCCGTACCCTCGAAGACACTCTTGAGACTCTTCCGGGCCATCGCACGAATGGACATTTTCTTTTTGTCTTCGCCCTTGGGAGAGTGAGCCTCGCCGGACGATCTCCCCTTCTTCCGCTTCTTCTTCTTCCTCTCTTTTTCTCGACTCCTTCCTCTCTCCGCCTCCTTCTTTTCTCCCATCTCCTTTGCTTGATCTTCCCCTGTCGCTATTTCCCCCGCCTTCTGTCCACCTGGATGCCCTTCGTCGACCAGGTTCATAGCCCAGGCAGGGTCCTCTCCTTTCCTCATCTTGATCTCCTCCCCATGCAGGAGGTTCTCGGCGTCCAGCATAGCTTCGCAACGAGCCCCGCACATGTGAATCCTCATGACCTTGTCGACTGTGCCCGACGCCCACCTCAAGATGGGTTCGGTCGTAGTGCCCTGAAGTTCCACTTCGACCTCTATGTCCTCCTTTCCCCGGACTTGGAAGCCTTTCACAAGCCCTGAGATCTCTGCAGCGCTGCCCCAATAACGCCCCTTGATCTCTACGGGGAGTCTCTTTCGAAGCATCTCCAAAGGGACGGCCTGACATTGTATAGTCTGCCCCTCTTCAAAAAGCCTTCCGTCTTCCACTCTGCGGCCCCTCTCTTCACTTGCGCCTCCTGGCTCAGCGCCAGCAGGACGTCGGCGCACTCTTCCTCCCCTTTCTATAGGAGGTCTTTCCTCTGCTCCTCTCTCCCGACGCACTCTTGCTGCCGGTCTTCTCAAGGCCATTGAAGCCTTGATGGAATCCTCACTACCTCCTGTAGTAGTATTGATTCTCCTTCTTCTTCACACCTTTGTTGACTCCCCAGTACTGGGGTGCTTTCTGCCAAGCCTTGAACGTTCCGCTCCAAGCTCTGCCTGTAGGTCGAGCAACTGGATCTGGTGGTCCACCTCGTCGCTCCACTGGTGGATGCTTAGGAGGAGGGCCTCCCCGGTCTCCAGGCGGAGATCTAGATGGCGTTCTTGGCGGCCTGACTGATGGCTTTGCCTTCTTTTCCTTTCCTTTCTCGGAATGCTCTCTCTTCTTGTCCCTGTCCTCCTTTGGATGTCGTGACCTTCTTGACGAACTTCTCCTTCGCCTGTGTCGGGATCTCTTGCTCCTTGATCTGTCTCGCTTCCTCTCACTCCTGCTTCTCTTCCTCGGGGTCTTTTCCTCCTTGTGCTGCCTTGATCCGCTGGAATGCTTTCCTTCTTCTGCCGGGGAATCTATTTCCTCCACTCCGGGAGCTCCTTTAGGGCTTCTGGGCTTGTCTCCTTCCTTCTTGGGAGCTATCCAGGTCTTGTCCGGCCTATCTGCCGCCTCCTCTTTACTCCCCTTGGTGGGAGTATCGCCACGCACCACTGGGCTTGCCGACTTGGAAGTTGCGGTCGCGGTGACTGATGCCTTTGCCTTCTCAATCTCCTCAAATCTGTCGATCTCCTCCTGAACTATGCCTGTCCAAATCCTGATGTTACTAATGCACCAGCCACGCAGTCCAATCGGCAACGAATCTACCGTCGTCCACCAGCGGGTGCGCACACGGCAGAAGGTACACACGAAGTCCGGCTCTCCCGTTCGAACCCCACACTGGGAACAAGGGTTCATCAACAGCTGAGAGCCCAAACCCTTCGGAAGAAACCAGTCAACCTACCTCGTCTTAATCTACGGGGCCGTAAGTTCATGTGTGTGTGTGTGTTTGTTCTTTTTTAATCTGGTTTTGGTGCTCAACAGTAACAATCTACATTGTTCCATCCATGGCTTGTGTGGGCGCTGCACTTTGGCATCAATACCCCGCGGCCTAATCGCAAAAGGCCCTGCCCTGCCCCGCAAGGCTAGTCAGAGCATCTGGGGTCCCACAAAGCATGAAAGTGACAGGCTTCCTTATGATGAAATGGCCAATTGAAATCATCAATTCATTGTGAATCTTGAACTCAACAAGTTGAGCCGAAGGGTCTTCTATTCCATGTGCGTTGACCTATGGACCCCCGCCCTCAACAAATAAGTCTTCTTCATGGCTTTTCGTGGCCAGTGACCGCCTGCCAACTGAATGGCGGGGTAATCGGATAGCTAAGGTCACATCGAACGAATCATGGTAAATCTATTTCAAACGTATAGAGTATGAGTATATTGCAAACATATATATATATATAACATATAGAGAGAGAGAGGAAAAAATACATTTTGGATTATATTGGTATATTTGGTGGTATGGTATACAATATTTGCAAGAGATGTACATCTGCCGGGGAGCCGGAAAACCTCAGGGTACAGCCATCGAAAGGTCGGCGGGTCGGCATCTTGCGTCGACATGGTCGGTCAAGAGCACCCATGACTCGACATGATTTTTTGTCAAACCATGTGGGGTGCAGCCAAAAGGAATGAATATATAGCGTTATAAAAAGCTTTCATATGGTAAGGCCAGAATCCTTGATTTAAAAAAGTCAGAAAAAAGTCAACTGGAAAAGTCAAAGTCAAAAAAAAATCAAATCGAAAAGTCGAAGAAAAAGTCCAAAAAAATAACATCAAAAGATTCAAAAAACAAGTCAACCATAGACCACAGCTCGAAAAAGTTTTTTTTTAAAAAAAAAAGAAAACATCAAAAAACAAACGTCAAATTTAAAAAACAACTCGAAAAAGTCAAAAAAGAAAACGTCAAAAAAAATCAACCACTCGAAAACGTTTAAAAAAAAGTCGAAAAAACCGTCGAAAAAAGTCGAAAAAATATCAAAAACAAGTCGAAAAAATGTTTTAAAAAGAAGGTCAAAAAAAAGTCGGATCTGGGCAAATTGACTTTTTGACTTTCTGAAATTTTCTGATGTGACTGTTTTTTGACTTTTTTGATCTTTTTTGACTTTTTAAATTTAGAAAACAGGCTCTTTCCAATGAAAGTTTTTATAAGAATAGCAAACAAAAAATACCAGCCACCCGTCCAAAGGCCTCTGGAATGGAGGGTCTCGTCCAATCGCACCAGTTCTTCATGGGGCTCGATATCTCGCAAGGCAATGACGACGAACTGTTCCTGCACTCAAAGCAAATGCCTCTCGTGCGACCACCAGTCAACTAAACAACCTGCGAGAAAACAAAGGTTTAAAACCAACCAAGAATGATCAACTTTGTTCGACCCTCACGGAGATTAGACACTCCTGAATCATCAAGTTCGTAAACACTTCGGAAAGCCATCAAGGTTTGAGGAATAAACATCTGCACTGTATGGTTTTGGCCCTCGTTTGACCGAGCCGTCGTTCACTTGTGACACCCTTGTGGGACGCCATGGGTGAATAACTCATGGGGAAGCGGAAACTGGTGATGTCGAGGCGCCAATCAAACCATCCAAAGCTATCCAAAGCTGGGAGGTGGTGGTCACGGAAGTGCACATATTAGCAATAGAGATCACAAATGGCACATGGATGGGATCCAAACATCTACTCAAGTCGACGGATCGCTCGCTACCCGGCCCGGTGGACCATCCCCCCGGTCTCTCCCCGATGGCGCGACGCCTCCCCGGTGGGCACCACCTTGGCAGAAGCCTTGAGTCGGAGGCTTCGAAGTTTGTGGAGCAAAACCCTTCAACAAACATGTGGACTCATAGATCAGTTTTGTCGGAGACCAATTGGTCAAACTCCAAGGGGTCTACCCTACCTTCAACAAACATGGAAGTGGACAACCCCCTGCTTGGTCTTCGGACACACTGGTCCTCCAAAGTGCAGAAATCAGGGATCTGCACGAGTGGAGACCTACAGAGCCGTAACTCAGGAATTTCGGCCGCAAACCAAATACTGTATGACCCAATCAGGGATGAAGGGCGTGCGTGCCGCTCGTGGTTCTGGCGGGGAAATGCATGTCAGCAAGGACTGACTCGCGTTTCATGATTGGTAGGGGTTGATTGGTAGGGGTTGCCAGCCCAGGCACGTGGGCAGTCCTCATTTCTTTGAACAGACAACAATGTGGCGGCGTGCAGTGCCCCAAAGACACGGATAGAACATGATAAAACAAGAGCAAGGACTTCCCTTTCTTGTCTATACTTGGGACCTTGTTGCCCTATTTTGCTATCAGCATCATCAGCTTTGCACCACTTGGCGAACAAACTCCTCAAGCGGACTAGCTGCTCGGCGTCATCTCGTGGAGTTGAGCAGGCCACTTGTGATCGAACAGAAAAAGCCCCTTTCAAGACTCTTCGTCTCCCGGGTTGTCGATGGGTCCTCTTCCAGTTTGCCTACCACTTCAACACATATACTCGAGCCGTCGCCCCAACGACTCGAGCCGTCGCCCCAACGACTCGGCCTCCTCTGGCTGCGATGTGGCGTGGTAGAACTGCAGGCAGCCGCTCCCTGAAGCGACCCGCGGATCCGGTCGACGGGTGGACGCTCGAGGCTGACGGCTGACCGGAGGAATTCTTCCAATTTGCCCTGCTGTAAGCTAGTACATGGTCAGTGGCTCAACAGGTGGCCCCATCCCTACCGCTACCCAGTCTTGTGTATAGCTTCTCCATGGCTCTCCGTTTCATGGGGGTCACACCCTGGCTCTTCCGTTTAGCGGATTTTGCCAGGGCAGCGGCATCCTCTCAGTGCGGCGAAGGGTCCACATGCTCGCGGACCGAGCCGTTCCCACCCTGTTTGGGACCGAGCCGTTCCCCCTCCCAAATCCTGTCCAACTCGCTTGCCCGGCCACCGCCGGCAGGAACGAACGAACTGTTGGGCCCAGAAGTGCTTCCGACCGAAACGGACATCATCACATCAGAGCACTTCTGGGCTCCACCACCAACAGTTTCCCCGTTTGCCAGCTGACAAGGATCCACTGGCCCATCGCGAGCCACTCCATGGCAGCACCAAAGGGCATCGGCTCCTTAAAGACAAAGGTTCCATCTTGAAAAACATGACCCTCCTGCAGAAATCTCAGATCCACTGTTCAGAAAATTCAGACCGTCCAAACGCAAATGTCTCCATTCCCACGAGTTTATGCAAATCCCCAACCAAAGCCAAACACAACGGGTGTTTGAGCCGCAGCTCCTCACTCCCTCACCCGGTCTCCCCGGCCGTCCCCGCCACGGCGCCCCTCCACCGGCAGCAGCCGCACCACGCCGAGCTCCAGCGTCTCGCCCCTCCGGATCTTCGCACGCGCGCGGCTCACGAAGCCACCCGAACTGGAGCGGTCCAAATAGATCTGGGCGGAGCGGAGCGGCTGCGCCAAACCCAAGCGAGTGCTCGTGCGCCAGTGGGGAGGTGACAAGTTACCAGGTGTGTAACATTGTGTAACTATAGTGGGAGTATGTAGGATGACTTTGCACACGTGAGACTTGTCGTCGACACGTGAATTGGAAAGCGCTTCATTTCATTTTGGTTGTGTGATGTTGTGTAGGTGTTGGTCTATAAACATCCAACCAAAGATGGTCTTTCTCTCTGCCGCAAGTTTCAGATGCAACCCATGTTCAACCAGGAACATGGGGTGGCCGCGCCCAAAATCTGGACTCGCGCCCAGAGCGCGACCGCAAAATCCGAACATGAGATCCGATATGGTGCAAAGAAACTGCAACACTGCAACAGCGGTTTGCATGGTTTTGGGGTCCTGGTTGCCGAACATGGCTGCCCTTTCTCTTGGCATCTCCCTCCATTTTCTGCCCCCATGTCTGTCTTCGGCCTTGCTGCAATCCACAAGGTAACCACGTTGACACAACCTTGGCACAAAACAAAGTCCAACCCGGAAAAAAAAGAATGGCACCAAAAGAGTTGACTAAAAAGGCATCCAAGTTTGCTGTGGCTATCGGGAAATGGGGTGGCCCACCAGGTGCTCATGCAAAAAGGCGCAAGAAACTATGAGTATGTGGCCGGGAAGACATCGAACACCAAGCTTCGGAAACGCTGAAGGTGTAGAAACCCTACGGGGTTCCTCACCAACTCACTGCCGCTGCCATCTACTACTTCACCTACCCCATGGCGGCAAAATTGACTACAATGACCAAGACTACTATAACTAGGCCCCTCCTGCTGTTGCTGTTCCTGCTACTCCCCTTGCCGCAATGCACAACAATGAACAACAATTTTTCTATTACCACGATAACTAACAACGAAAACAACTGCTACCACCTACCGTGTACACCTGCATCGATACAGGTGTTTGATACAGGCATTGACATTGAGATGCATTTAGGTGCGGAGATAGAGTGGTGTAGAGGTACAGGTGTCAGGTGTGGAGATACTGGTGTAGAGATACAATGTGTTGAAATACAGGCGAAAACACCAACAAAAACAAAAAACATTGACTTGCTCATACGTTTGAAATCTCCTTTAAGGCGGCGGGGTGGCCCACGACCTCAAAGCCACAATTTCACGGACTTTAATTTCAAGTGCCAATCTCTAAGTATAAGCTCTGAGCCTCCCGACCGGCCAAGGCCACTTCCCGCGCGAGGGCGCGGGCGCCCAAAAACCGTAGCACGATGGAGCTGCAGCATGTCTTGTGAGGGCTGAGGAATCAAAATGTTTCTCTTATACTGATATTATCCATATAAAAGTCAAGTTGCGCATCGGGATACGCAACAAACAATAGCAGGACAAATTGCAATGATCTGAAAAAGCGCATGGGTCTTGGGAGGCCAAGTTTTAACAGCCAAAGTTGGGTGAGGTCATGACTGCCGCGCTGGTGAAGTAACTGTTAAAAATTGGGTTTAGGGGTGGTTTTGGAGGCCTTGACCAATCTCATCTACTCCCAAGATCCATAAAGCCAGCCCAGTCAGGGAACCAAGCATTAGAGCCCAACGGCTCAGCCAGCACCGAGATCGGCAGAGCGAAGCCAATAGCAACAGCTGCCAGGCGTCGCTTCTGACATGTGCGCGTGTGTGATCACAGAAAGTCCATTGATTTGTACACCTTACTTGCATTCTTGGAAGAAATAAGTTTAACCTTTAGCAGGGGAGCGGTGGGCATTCTTGAAGTCACTGCTCAACGAAGACACTTCAAGCTTTTGCCGTGATATGCAATCTGGACGCAGATCGCACGCACCTGCGAGAAGATGATCACCACTCATTTCCTTCTGGGCCCCTTTCTAGCTAGAACAAACCTCTGGCCATCGCAGCGATTCCTTCACGGCAGTCACGCATTCGCCGCCTTTGAGATGTACGAGCTTCAGGCTGTGGAGGTTTGGAGGCTTTGAGATGATCAATCTTTACATACAACCTGCTTTACCCAGGCAATTTTTTCACTTAGGCTTCTTCAGGGGCTTGGGGCGATCAGTTCCGTACGCATTATCTCGAGTGTGTGTGTGTGTGTTCCATGATGAGGGGTGTGCCCCACATGTTTACTTGAAAGAAAGAAAACCCGAATTCCTTCTTGGCAACATAAACCACGACCCTCTGATTACAGTAATCTGATTGGGGTGCCCAACCCCAGCTCGGAGTGAACACACTCAAAATGCTTGTTTGATTTGTTTGCATGGACTCTCCGCCTTTCTTGTAGGACACCTTGCAACACCCAATCAAGCCCCTTCACCATCTTCGGCCTCTTTCGGGGTCGAGAAGTATGTGCCCACCGCATGTGACATGTTCAAGATCGGGTCCGACCTCCGGTCCAGCTGGAACGGACAGCTCTGGTGATTCGAACGGTGCCTAGGGCATGGAACATCTATACTACATCTAGTGGCCACACACTTGAGTGAACTCCCTGTCTGTTCGATTTTGGAGTCCTGGTGGTCAAATGTGGCCAACCTGTTTTCACATGCGCAAGCTGCGCAGAAGGCCTCTTCCAGGTCGCCCCCTCCTCTCTTTTTGCACCGACATCGAGCGCAGCACCCGAGAATCACCGCAGCGAGAGCTGCGGGTCTATTGTGCTCCACGCAGATCGCCGCAGCTCGCGACTCACCACGCGGACCAGGTGAAATCCTCCAGCTCTTCCGCGAGCTGCGCCTTTCGCGCACCACACTGTTCCCAAAGCTGCCGGCGACGCTCCTGGCCGCACGCGGCACGGAGCGTCGAAGCGGTGCTCGTGTGTTTCTGCGACGCCACCCCAAGTGGTTCGCGCGTGGCGAAAGAGCCCGGTCAAACACGCCTGCCGGTCAAATGGGTAGACTGTCATTTTCGGATTCACATCATAGAAAAGTCCAGTATCCAATCGCTAGCGCAGATTGCCTGACCCAAGCTAAGCAGCCAGAAAAGGTCGACCCAGCCGCTCCGAAAAACCGTGGCTCGCGCTGTCGGACCCTTAAAAAACTCCTTAAAAAGAACAGGGTATACCCAGACTCCTTGGTCACCCCAAAATGGCCCAATGCATGACCTCCAGCCACGCCAGGCGGGCTGGGCGTCCCGTCCCCTTGGCGTGCTCACCGAGGAAGGCCACCCGAAGTGGTCCGGTCCGGTCCAGTGCGGTGCTCCACGGTGTCTCCTGGATGTTTTTATTCTTGGACCACAGTTCAAGTTCCCTCAACTGCCTTAGGCTTGGCTGAGAAGAAGGAAGAGATCAAGACGAAAGGACGGCCTTTTAAAGGGGGCGCGAGTGAAGAAAAGTTTGCCAGCATCATCTTGATAATGAGGAGAAAAAAAAAAAATATATATATATATATAGATATAATCTTAGCAAGTTAGCAAGAAAAATAAGAAAGAATCCGCTTGATCTCATGATATCTCATGTGCTGCTCGTCCCTTCAATCTAGATCCACCTTCTTGAGCCTCGTTGGACATCTCTAGATTCTAGATCACTTCCATGGGATCGGCTCCGGGATCCATCATCAAATCCAGCTCTTCATCCGCACCCCATCTATCTGGATGCCCCGGGACCGAAGACGAGGGCCGACGGCCCAAAATGAACCGAACCGACTTGCATCAACCTGTTGCATCAGCACCCTGTCACAAAGGAACATCCAAATACACCACCCTGCAAGCCCAGTGGTTGCTCTACAAAGCCGATGCCATGGTGCAGAAGTCCAAAACACCGCTACACTTCCAAGCGACTGCCCATGGAACTTCTCGTGGTGCTCCATGAGCATGCTTTGGTACTTCTGCTGAAAACCCGAAAGCACCTCCGCAGGGACGACGCAAAAGGCCACCTGACGACTCCAGCCACCTGATCCTGATCCGGTTTTGCCTCTGCGGTCGGACCGGACCCGTCCGAAATCCCTTGTCGTCCTGAGAAGTCCTCTCTCAGGATGGATCGAAGGGTTCGCTTAGGCTTCTTGAAAGAGCTCGAGTTATCCCGAGTTAGTTAGGGCAGAGGTATGGCAAATCAATGGGAAGTCCCATCCTCCTGCATGTTCTCCTGCACAAAGGCCTTTCAATCCTTCTGCCCTAAGAATCCTTGGACCCTCCTCCATAGTAGGGGTCGGACCCTCCTTCAAAACCCTAGAACTAGCTGAGAGCCCGGATTCTTAGGGTGACAGGGATCCGGAGGCCCCAGTGAGGCCCGAGCGGACCACAAGCTCCACAAGCTCGTCGCAGCCGCCTGCCTGAGCAGCCTTCTCGGATATGGCCTGCGTTGCGAAAGACCAATGGGAGGCATGAAGCATGGACTCAGTTTGGGTTTTCTTCTCTCAAAGTGTGACGTCCCACATGCAGTGGCATTTACAAGATTACATTAGGTTTGAGCGGAGATGATTTGAGATGGTAGTTAAAATGATGTAAACTGGCACGTGTATGTTTGTATCGGGTCCATCTCAGGCTCAGGATGGCCCTTTTTTTCCAATGCCCACCTACTTGCGAGGCTATGTGGATCCACTGGGACGCTCAAGATCATCTTCCCCAGGCAGTGAAGATCCTCCGCCTCAAAAAGCACCGAAAATGTCCTCGCAGCTTCCAGCTTTTGAAGGAACATGGTTCCTCTCATGATCCACTCAGCTTCACCAGGTCCGACTTAAGATTGCTCCACTCCAAGACTTCTAAAGTCCTCTCCCAAACAGAAACCCACCGAGCTCGATGGCCTCACGGCCCTGCTCCCCCCCGGTCCACCGGCCTCCACGTGCGAGACCTCGGGCGCCAGCGCGCGCAGCAGCTCGGCGCTGGCCGAGGCCTTCGGCAGCTCTTGGAGCGCGGGGCACTCCAGGCATCGCTCGATGAGCGCCCCTCGGGCAGACGAGGCGGGGGGGTTGGTTTCAGTCGCGGGACAGGGACGTGGTGAGAGCTCTCAGATGGTTATGGGAGTGGATGAACTCCTGGAAGATGGGTGGAAGTGAGCACTATTTTCCAGTTCTGCCCTGCAAGATGTTGTTTCCAAGGGGCTTTGGGAAGCTTCCATCAAGCCACCAGGTGGTGGAAGAACCTCTTCCTCCCTCCGAACCTCCCTCCCTCCTCTCCCAGGACAGAGCGGTGTCCATGCTGCAGCAGAAAGGCCACGAATCGGAACAGCAAGAGATGGGGGGGTCCCTCAAAACTTGCTCACCGCGCCTGGATGCAGCATTTGTCACGTCTAACCTCCAGAGTGCTAAGCGTACACCGCACGGGCCATCTGAAGATTCCAACGATCTTTACCGTGGGCCCTGTGGCTCAGCATATCTTGAAGGTCCCATGTTAACTCCCACAAATTGGACTGTGACCATTCATCCAATCGTAACCTTCTTAGAGTGAGTGGTGCGAGTTCTTCGTTTACTGATGTCCTTGGAAACTTCAAGGGTTGGTGTGTGTGTGTGTGTCTCTCTCTTTCTCACCCTTCAAACAAGGGCACACCCTGATCACACGCTATACACATTGAGGCCCCATCCTTTCTTTCTCGCTTCTCGAATGGTCCCCATCACTCCGTCACTCCCGAAAAACCGGTCTCCGTGCCACGTCCTCTCTTCCTCCCGAAAGGACGCCAAGATTAAAACGCTTCGTGCAACCGGCGACGCAGCTTCGTGGCAACCTGAGAGAAGCCGAGCTAGGACGACCGAGTTGGTGTCTCCCTTGTTGGGCATGTCCCCATGCCAATAGTGGATGATGGGGTCTGGTTGCAGGCCAACATCTCGAAAATAGTGTAAACCTGGTATGGGTACCAAATACTTGCATGGTGGGTTTGCACCAGCCACTAGTAGCTGAGGAAGCTGTGGGAGTTGTGAAAGGTCCCGGGCCTCGTGGAAGGTCCCTTGCGCCGGCCAGACTTGATGGTAGAGCACTCAGCGAGATCAACCGGCCCGCCCGGCGGCCCGCCCGGCGGCCCGCTGAGAGCGCATTCTGTTTCAAATGCCAAGGAATGCGTCTGTTGGTCAGTTGCGCCAGGTGTCGCAGATTCCACGGGTCGACAACCTACCCAGCACAATGAACAATTCATGGGTCATGAGAATGCTCTGTAACAAGGTAATCTGGCATTTTCACTCTACCCTTCGAACCCGTCTACCTCTGTCGGTTGCTTGCATGCTTGCTTGCTTGCTTGCTTGCTTGCTTGCAGGACCTGGCCACATGGTTGTTGCTGTCCATGTCTTGTCGCTAAGTGTTTGCGTGGGACTGGCAATAGATGTCAAAAGGGAACATCTGTCACTGACTCATCTATCCCTACCCAACCCAAAAAATTAACGAT